TGTATTTGCCAAATAAAGTTTGAGTGGCCGACCTTGTTTAGGAGGCATCAAGACTGGAGGGTGAACCAATGCCTGCTTGATAGCATCTAAAGCCGTCTGTTGATCGGGACCCCATTCAAAAGCATTTTTTCCAGCTTTCAACAATTTAGTAATGGGTCTGACCTTGCCAGCAGCATTAGAAATGAAACGCCTCAAATAGTTCACCTTACCCAAAAGACTTTGGATTTCTTTAACCGTCTTGGGTGGCCGACTGTCAAGAATGGCTTTAGCCTTATTGGCATCGATTTCAATTCCTCTCTCATGAACTAAAAATCCTAAAAAGCTCCCAGCTGATATTCCAAAAGCACACTTGGTTGGATTCATCTTCAACTTGTACTTCTTCATTCTTTCGAATGCCTCTTCAAGATTTCTCAAATGTTCGTTAAAACTGGAGGATTTAACAATAACATCATCAATATAAACTTCCATAGATTTGCCAATTAAATCATGAAAGATTGAATTCATGGCTCTTTGGTAAGTTGCCCCTGCATTCTTTAACCCGAATGGCATGACTGTCCATTCATAAATACCTAAAGCCCCTGGGCACCTGAATGCTGTCTTAGGAATGTCTTCTTCTGCCAGAAATATTTGGTTATAACCTGCATAACCATCCATCAGACTAAGGACTTTATGCCCTGCTGCTGCATCTATCAACATGTCGGCCATAGGCATCACATATTCGTCCTTAGGGGTAGCTAGATTCAAATCCCTGAAATCGATGCATATCCTTATCTTACCATTTTTCTTGACCACTGGCACAATGTTAGCCAGCCACTCCGCATAACGGCAAGGCTGAATGAAACCCACTTTGAGAAGTTTTTGGATTTCTTCCTTGATTTGAGGCATCAGATCCGGGCTCATTCGCCTTGGAGGTTGTTTGTAAGGTTTGCAACCTTCCTTGATAGGCAATCGATGCTCTATTAGACTTCTTGTCAAACCAGGCATTTCTGAATAATCCCATGCTAAACAATCAATGTTGTTTCTAATAACTTCGAGCATCATTGTCTGTTGCTCTTTAGACAAATAACCACTTAGCCTGATCACTTTTGGAACCAATTCGGTTCCTAAATTAAACTCCAATAATGGGTCTTGTGATGAAGCTGTTGGTTCTGTTTTTTCTAATAAATCAGGCCAACGAAATTGTTCATCTTCTTGGAGGTGAACATCAAGAATCTCTTTACTATTTTCTGCTTTATGTAATAACTGCTTTAAATAGAACTTATTAATAAGAGAACTACATACTTCTAAACTTGTATCACCCATAACAAACAAATTATACGGGAATAGGTGTGGCTTTATCATGAGCCATACAATAAAGTTGTTCTTTTAATAGAACATCGAGTTCTGGCCAGTGACTTTATAACCCTTGTTTGGGTATTCCCTGGCCATATATAACTGAGACATCGGAGCCAAATGACTGGAATAAAAAACTGACTCTTCAACTTGTTCTGATACATCGAATGGGTTGTCATTTGCTTCCATTTTGAAGACCTGATTTCCTTCCCAGAACATTAATTGTTGGTGCAGTGTTGATGGCACACATTGAGAGGCATGAATCCAGTCTCTTCCCAGCAAGAGAGAGTATGTAGTATCTGCGTCCACAATAAAGAAAACAGTGGAGATCTTCTTTGGTCCGACTTCAATTGTGGCAACCATCATGCCTTCAGGCTTGGTCGGCTGCCCTGTAAAACTTGTCATTTCGAATTCCACAGGAGACAGATCATGAATTCCTTTCCCTAGCTTCTTGAGAGTCTTCAATGGCATAACATTAAAGACTGCTCCATTATCCACAAAAACCTTTGTGATTGGTTTCCCGCAAATGTGAGCATTAACATACAGAGGTTTCAAATGGGAGATCGCACCCTCTGGAATAGGAGGAAACACTATCGAAGGTGTCTCCGACTGAGACTCGGAATCTGAAGTCTTTGCCCACTCTGTTTCCTCTAATTCATCATCTGCCAAGAATGCCCATAAAGGTTCGTCCATAGTATCATCTACCAGACTCGCCCACATCGGTTCATCTCTCATCTGATTAATCTCTGTCATTCGACAAGGGATTCGTGGCCCCAGACGAGATTTAACAGATCTCAAATTTTCCTCTGTAGTTACAACTTCTTCCTTTGTCTTATTCCGAGATTGAACCGTCAAAGATTCTATACGGAATTCTTCAGAGATGGATTGATGTTGATCCGTTCACAATGTTGGCATCTAAAACCTCTAATTATTTCATCTGATATTCCTTTACCTTTCCCTGTCCCGACGAACTTCCTTTGGTATAATCTGAAGCGCCTAATCCGTCGTTCGGTTGCTTTCTTGAACAGACCCGACTGGACCGACTTTTTGGAGATTGAATGGCTGCTCCCTGCTCGTTGGTTGTTTGTTCTGTAAAGACTCTAATGGACTGATCTCCTGCCAAGTGGTCGGCTGCTTTTTGTTCGTCGGTTAGTTGTTTTGCTGAAGGAACTCGTTTCCCATACTTCGCAGCATACCTGCGTTTGGCATTGCGAATCTGTGTACGATTCATACCTGGGAAACGAGGATCTATATCAACTGGTAAAGGCTTTTTATTTCGAGCCCAATTGTTCCCGACTGACCCTGTTTTTCTGGTCGGGTGGTCACGCACTAAAACCTTTTCTTTCACCTCCACATTAAAAGAACCGTCTGGATGGTCCCATTTTTCAGCGACTGGCTTTTCACAAACTTTGAGTCGTTCTTCCGGTCGGCCACTGTTTGGCTGACTTCCTTTTTTTGTTCCGGGGCTTGCCTGAGTTCGTTCCCCTGTTTGTCCACTATTGGCCGAATTTTTCCTTGTTTCCGAACTTGGTTGGATGTCAACCATTGCCGTTGTTACTTTCGGAAACGGTTGCTGGTCTACACCTAGAGTGATGTATTTGAGCCGACCTGTCTTGATGGCCTTTTGAATTTCCTTCCTGAAATGAGTACACTGACTTGTATTGTGTGTGAAAGAATTATGCCACTTACAATATGGTCTCCCTTTGATTTCTTCTTTAGTGGCCAATCTTTGCCCCTTTGGAATACGGATCTGACTGATTAAAATCAAAGTCACATGTTTCTGTTCCCATACTCGCCATATGTTGGCCTCTATTACGCCTGTTATTCTGATCTTCCTCTCTGAACAAAGACTCTAAACGCCCAGCCTTAGATGCAAGACTTGCCAAATCCTCAACATCCAGTGCAGTGAGTGCCTTTCTTAAGCGAGTATGCATATTCCGGACCACTAAATTGGTCATCTCTTTCTCACTGATTACCGTAGGACATCGCCCTTTCATCAATCGCACCCTTTCTATAAACTGTGAAGCAGATTCTTCTGGATACTGTCTCAATTCTAGTAAATCAGTTAAAGAAACAATTGGTAAAGGATTGAAGAATCTGGCATGAAATGCCATCTCCAGTCCTTCCCACGTCTGAATTTGTCCAGGAGGCAGACTTGCGAACCACGAAAACGCTGTTCTAGTAAGAGATAAACCAAACAGTTGCAACTTATAAAAAGGGTTATTGCCAACTTCTCCTAATTGTGCTGTGAACCGACCAACATGTTCTATGGTGGAAGATCCGTCCTCCCCTGAGAATGCATGAAAATCGGGTGGTCGATAATTCCTTGGGAGGGGTGTTCATTAATGATCCTTTCTGGGAAAGGTCTCTGATATGCAGGGCGGTTAGCCATCTGAGGAGTTAGCCCAAACTGATCCCTTAATATATGTGCGATCTCATCAGGATCTACATGAAAGCGTTGATGATCAGGAACATGGAAAGGATCCTGCACAGGAATATGAATAGGATCATGTATATATCCTCCAGGCCTGTCCTCCCTTGTATTGTTCGGCTGCGGACTGGAAACCCTTGGTCCCAGCGGAACAGTGTTGGGAAAAGTCAGAGGAGATTTTCCCCTATCCGTTCGGTTGGGATTTGTGGCACTTGGAAATGCACTATCCACGAATGATGGCCCTGCGAAATTTGTCTGTAGTCTGGATGGTGATACTCCTGGTGGAGTTTGAGTGGGTTGAAGACTAACCCTTGACAGTGCTTGATCCAACATGTTCTGTATTAGATTTTGTTGTTCACGCAACATATTCTGCATAACCAAAGTTTGCTGGTTGTTCATTTGTTGAACATAAGACCTCCAATCAGTTGGTGGTTGTGGGTTTTCCCCGGCATTTGGCACAATAGGTGGTGGAACGGATTCTCCCGCCGGTGCCGAAGATGATTGAGGTTGTGAACCTGCCATATGGACCCTTCCGATGATTCGGCCGGATCTAAGACGTATGAAATTATCGCCGGAATTGGAATGAGCAATTGTGTCTTGCTCCCACTGTGGTCGCCAATTTGTTGATGTAATTTTTCAACAAAAATAAAGTAAAATTCAAAGATATAGAAAATATCCTTAAACTTGATTAATTAGTGCCTGAGATTAGGAATCTCTAAACACTGTATGGTACAGAAAATAAACTGGAAAATAAAAGACTGAAATTTAAAGTGGTGATCCCCAAATCTGACTTTGCTTTGTTGAAGTTGATTGAAGATGCCTTGCCAAATGATGATCCAAACCCTTAAATATTCTCTGGGAAACTGTACTGAAAACCGTCGCCCGAACGGTTACAACGTCTCCTTCCCAACCGTCTTCCAACCCTTCTCCTGCTGACACGTGTCCTCAGCAGACCAAAATTATCCCTATATTTCACTCTTTGAGCCGACCACAGACCTTCCGCCCTTTTGGCCCGACTGCCAATCTACAACCGCATTGGTCCGACTGCCAATCCTCCCGACTTGCAAACCATCTGACTTGTTTGGATTAGCTACAGACATCCCGACTAACAAACCATCCGACTTGTTGGTCCCGCCGCAGAGTTCCGACCTGAGAACTTCCCGACCTGAGGGCCTCCCGACCTGCGGACTTCCCGTCCTGATGACTTTCCGTCTTGAGGACCTCCCGACCTAAAGACCTTCCGACCTGAGGTCTTTCCGTCCTGAGGACTTTCCGTCTTGAGGACCTCCCGACCTGAAGACCTTCCGACCTGAGGTCTTTCCGTCCTGAGGACTTTCCGTCTTGAGGGCCTCCCGACCTGAAAACCTTCCGACCTGAGGTCTTTCCGTCCTGAGGACTTTCCGTCTTGAGGGCCTCCCGACCTGAAGACCTTCCGACCTGAGGTCTTTCCGTCCTGAGGACTTTCCATCCTGAGGACCTACCGACCTGAAGACCTTCCGACCTGAAGTCTTTCCGTCCTGTATTTTCCTTAGAAATAAACCTATTTTCCTTGATTTCCTCACGGTGTCCTTCAGCCAGTTCAATCAACTCTATTGCCAGGCCCATTCTTCTTTTTACCTTGGGCTTTTAACCTAATTCTAAATTTCGTACGTAACAACAACAAATACGAAAAGCACTGCAATTAGTAGCACTATAGAGCACAAACTAAGTATAATCTATAACATGCTATATAATATAAAGGAAAAACATTGAAAAAACAAAAGCGCTAAATATACTAATTTCGAACACTCTACAACAAATACGAAAAGCACTACAATTAGAACACTATAGAGCACAAAGTAAGTATAATCTATAACATGCTATATAATATAAAGGAAAAACATTGAAAAACAAAAGCGCTAAATATACTAATTTCGAACACTCTACAACAAATACGAAAAAGCACTACAATTAGAAGAACTATAGAGCACAAAGTAAGTATAATCTATAACATGCTATATAATATAAAGGAAAACCATTGAAAAAACGAAACCGCTAAATATACTAATTTCGAACACTCTACAACAAATACGAAAAGCCTTGCAATTAGAACTATAGAGCACAAAGTAAGTATAATCTATAACATGCTATATAATATAAAGGAAAAACATTGAAAAAACAAAAGCGCTAAATATACTAATTTCGAACACTCTACAACAAATACGAAAAGCCTGCAATTAGAACTATGGAGCACAAAGTAAGTATAATCTATAACATGCTATATAATATAAAGGAAAAACATTGAAAAAACAAAAGCGCTAAATATACTAATTTCGAACACTCTACAACAAATACGAAAGGCACTACAATTAGAAAAACTATAGAGCACAAAGTAAGTATAATCTATAACATGCTATATAATATAAAGGAAAAACCATTGAAAAAACAAAAGCGCTAAATATACTAATTTCGAACACTCTACAACAAATACGAAAAGCACTACAATTAGAGAACTATCGAGCACAAAGTAAGTATAATCTATAACATGCTATATAATACAAAGGAAAAACATTGAAAAAACAAAAGTGCTAAATATACTAATTTCGAACACTCTACAACAAATACGAAAAGCACTACAATTAGAAGAACTATAGAGCACAAAGTAAGTATAATCTATAACATGCTATATAATATAAAGGGCCATTGGAAAAACAAAAGCGCTAAATATACTAATTTCGAACACTCTACAACAAATACGAAAATCACTACATTTAGAAGAACTATAGAGCACAAAGTAAGTATAATCTATAACATGCTATATAATATAAAGGAAAACCATTGAAAAAACAAAAGCGCTAAATATACTAATTTCAAACACTCTACAACAAATACGAAAAGCCTTACAATTAGAACTATGGAGCACAAAGTAAGTATAATCTATAACATGCTATATAATATAAAGGAAAAACATTGAAAAAACAAAAGCGCTAAATATACTAATTTCGAACACTCTACAACAAATACGAAAAGCACTGCAATTAGAAGAACTATAGAGCACAAAGTAAGTATAATCTATAACATGCTATATAATATAAAGGAAAACCATTAAAAAAAAAAAGCGCTAAATATACTAATTTCGAACACTCTACAACAAATACGAAAAGCCTTACAATTAGAACTATAGAGCACAAAGTAAGTATAATCTATAACATGCTATATAATATAAAGGAAAACCATTGAAAAAACAAAAGGGCTAAATATACTAATTTCGAACACTCTACAACAAATACGAAAAGCACTACTGTTAGAAGCACTATAGAGCACAAAGTAAGTATAATCTATAACATTGTATATAATATAAAGGAAAACCATTGAAAAAACAAAAGCGCTAAATATACTAATTTCGAACACTCTACAACAAATACGAAAAGCACTGCAATTAGAACTATAGAGCACAAGTAAGTATAATCTATAACATGCTATATAATATAAAGGAAAACATTGAAAAAACAAAAGCGCTAAATATACTAATTTCGAACACTCTACAACAAATACGAAAAGCACTGCAATTAGAAGAACTATAGAGCACAAAGTAAGTATAATCTATAACATGCTATATAATATAAAGGAAAAACATTGAAAAAACAAAAGCGCTAAATATACTAATTTCGAACACTCTACAACAAATACGAAAAGCACTGCAATTAGAACTATAGAGCACAAAGTAAGTATAATCTATAACATGCTATATAATATAAAGGAAAACATTGAAAAAACAAAAGCGCTAAATATACTAATTTCGAACACTCTACAACAAATACGAAAAGCCTGCAATTAGAACTATAGAGCACAAAGTAAGTATAATCTATAACATGCTATATAATATAAAGGAAAACCATTGAAAAAACAAAAGCGCTAAATATACTAATTTCGAACACTCTACAACAAATACGAAAAGCCTTGCAATTAGAACTATAGAGCACAAAGTAAGTATAATCTATAACATGCTATATAATATAAAGGAAAAACATTGAAAAAACAAAAGCGCTAAATATACTAATTTCGAACACTCTACAACAAATACGAAAAGCACTGCAATTAGAAAACTATAGAGCACAAAGTAAGTATAATCTATAACATGCTATATAATATAAGGAAAAACATTGAAAAACAAAAGCGCTAAATATACTAATTTCGAACACTCTACAACAAATACGAAAAGCACTGCAATTAGAGAACTATAGAGCACAAAGTAAGTATAATCTATAACATGCTATATAATATAAAGGAACATTGAAAAAACAAAAGCGCTAAATATACTAATTTCGAACACTCTACAACAAATACGAAAAGCACTGCAATTAGAACTATAGAGCACAAAGTAAGTATAATCTATAACATGCTATATAATATAAAGGAAAAACATTGAAAAAACAAAAGCGCTAAATATACTAATTTCGAACACTCTACAACAAATACGAAAAGCACTTGCAATTAGAACTATAGAGCACAAAGTAAGTATAATCTATAACATGCTATATAATATAAAGGAAAAACATTGAAAAAACAAAAGCGCTAAATATACTAATTTCGAACACTCTACAACAAATACGAAAAGCACTGCAATTAGAACTATAGAGCACAAAGTAAGTATAATCTATAACATGCTATATAATATAAAGGAAAACATTGAAAAAACAAAAGCGCTAAATATACTAATTTCGAACACTCTACAACAAATACGAAAAGCACTACAATTAGAACTATAGAGCACAAAGTAAGTATAATCTATAACATGCTATATAATATAAAGGAAAACATTGAAAAAACAAAAGCGCTAAATATACTAATTTCGAACACTCTACAACAAATACGAAAAGCACTGCAATTAGAACTATAGAGCACAAAGTAAGTATAATCTATAACATGCTATATAATATAAAGGAAAAACATTGAAAAAACAAAAGCGCTAAATATACTAATTTCGAACACTCTACAACAAATACGAAAAGCACTGCAATTAGAAGAACTATAGAGCACAAAGTAAGTATAATCTATAACATGCTATATAATATAAAGGAAAAACATTGAAAAAACAAAAGCGCTAAATATACTAATTTCGAACACTCTACAACAAATACGAAAAGCACTGCAATTAGAAACTATAGAGCACAAAGTAAGTATAATCTATAACATGCTATATAATATAAAGGAAAAACATTGAAAAAACAAAAGCGCTAAATATACTAATTTCGAACACTCTACAACAAATACGAAAAGCACTGCAATTAGAACTATAGAGCACAAAGTAAGTATAATCTATAACATGCTATATAATATAAAGGAAAAACATTGAAAAAACAAAAGCGCTAAATATACTAATTTCGAACACTCTACAACAAATACGAAAAGCACTGCAATTAGAACTATAGAGCACAAAGTAAGTATAATCTATAACATGCTATATAATATAAAGGAAAACCATTGAAAAAACAAAAGCGCTAAATATACTAATTTCGAACACTCTACAACAAATACGAAAAGCACTGCAATTAGAACTATAGAGCACAAAGTAAGTATAATCTATAACATGCTATATAATATAAAGGAAAAACATTGAAAAAACAAAGCGCTAAATATACTAATTTCGAACACTCTACAACAAATACGAAAAGCACTGCAATTATAAGAACTATAGAGCACAAAGTAAGTATAATCTATAACATGCTATATAATATAAAGGAAAAACATTGAAAAAACAAAGCGCTAAATACTAATTTCGAACACTCTACAACAAATACGAAAAGCACTGCAATTAGAACTATAGAGCACAAAGTAAGTATAATCTATAACATGCTATATAATATAAAGGAAACATTGAAAAAACAAAAGCGCTAAATATACTAATTTCGAACACTCTACAACAAATACGAAAAGCACTGCAATTAGAACTATAGAGCACAAAGTAAGTATAATCTATAACATGCTATATAATATAAAGGAAAACATTGAAAAAACAAAAGCGCTAAATATACTAATTTCGAACACTCTACAACAAATACGAAAAGCACTGCAATTAGAACTATAGAGCACAAAGTAAGTATAATCTATAACATGCTATATAATATAAAGGAAAAACATTGAAAAAACAAAAGCGCTAAATATACTAATTTCGAACACTCTACAACAAATACGAAAAGCACTGCAATTAGAACTATAGAGCACAAAGTAAGTATAATCTATAACATGCTATATAATATAAAGGAAAAACATTGAAAAAACAAAAGCGCTAAATATACTAATTTCGAACACTCTACAACAAATACGAAAAGCACTGCAATTAGAACTATAGAGCACAAAGTAAGT